TGATAGATTGATGATAGCTAGCTAGATGAGAGAGAGAGAGAGAGAGAGAGAGAGAGAGAGAGAGAGAGAGAGAGAGATGGACCAATAAATGGTAGACATAGACACATAGACATGGACAAATATTCTAAATGTAACTGAAGTGGAACAAATGAATTTTTAATATTCTCCATTAAAGTAAAGAAATCTTCCCTGGGGATTTAATGGAAGTATGAAACACAAAGGAAGGTTGGGAACTAATGGCAAGAAATTGGTGATAAGTATGATGTACTGTATATGTGCTGACCCTGGCCATTTTATCATGAAACGAAATGCTAAAAGTCACTACATCCCACCCCTGAGAATTTTATCTGGAATTCTCTTCTCTCCCCACAGCACCTGGACAATTTCCTCCAAGCTACCACTGCCACTCCCCTTTATTGTCAATGGTATCCTTCTATTGTAACTTCTGCCAATGGCGACACAAGTCGTACTCACCGGGCACAGGCAAGATAGCCAAATACATGTGCTACTAAGACAGGGCCATGCGCCGCTTCCAGGTGGTCACACAAGCGATGCACAAACTCTGAGACTGTAGACGATACGGCTGGTGCTGCAAGTTGAGCGTAGGAAGGCCAACGCTGGGCTTGTCTTATGGCCAGGGCTACTGGCAGAGCATAGCCACCCTTTGCAAAGCTTTGCAGGAACAACTCCTGCTGGGCAGGCCTCAGCGTGCGCCCTGCGGATGCCAAAGCTTTGGAGAGAATCACCGCCACTTGCTCTTGAGAAAGAGGCCCCATCTCAAAGTAATCCTCTGGAGCCCCAGTCATCTTCTGCAGGACTTCGCTTTCCTTCTGCAGCACAGTAAGAATCAGGTGTGTCTTTGGAGGGCAGGTTTTTGGCAACCAGAAAGCTCTCCGAGCATTTCTAGGGGTGCGTAGCTGCTCCATCGAATCAAGGAGCAGGACGAGGGACCGTGTGCCCTGGCAAGAAGCTGAAGAAAGCAGGCGGTGGAAGAGCAGGACTGGATTGCCAACTGGCTTGGTGTAAGGGAAGCCCATGGCTAAGCAAACCTGTTGGCAGAGGCTGTGGAGAAGGCTGTTCCGTGTGGAACTATCCTGCGAAGTTCCCAGCAAACGAAGTATCACCACCGTTTCCTGATCCAGGGTGGTTTGTATGGCTTCACCTAAATGGTACAAGAGGGCTGTTTTGCCACATCCGGAGGGGCCATAGATGACAAGTGGGGAATGGGCTCGATGGTGGTTCTGTTTAATGCGCTGGCAAATGTGACCCAGCAGATTCTGCTGCCAGCAGAAAGCCTGGCTGTGTTTTTGACCAAGGGCCATGTGATGTGTGAGCTCCCAAATCAGCTCAGGCGGCTTCCCAAGGTTTTGTTCTTGGGATCGCAGGCTCCTGAGCACGTGATGGTTGGTGGCAGCGATGAATTGGTCACAGAAATCCTTCAAATACTTGGGCCAGGGCTTGTGCCGGATAGACGCAGGTCCTATCTCATAGGGAACCCTGTGAACCTTAATCAGCTCAGGACACCTGCGTGCGACGTTTGCCTTCAGATCTGCTAACTGTTGCGGTTCTTCAGGGTGCAGCTCACCACCAACTTCATCTGTGCCCAGTCGCGAGTCCACTCTATCTGATGTGGGCATGTCCACTTCTGTGAAGAACACCATGGTACTTTGGCCATCGCGTTCACCTGATCTGAAGAGGCCAGCCTCAATTTCCTGATGTATCTCTATAAAAGATTGTGAAGATATGAATATGGACTTCAGAAGGCCTAAGCAACTAAAGGTAAAGGTAAAAGATTCCCCTCGCACATGTGTGCTAGTTGTTCCCGACTCTAGGGGGCAGTGCCCATCTCCGTTTCAAAGCCAAAGAGCCAGCGCTGTCCAAAGAGGTCTCAGTGGTCATGTGGCCAGCATGACTAACACCGAAGACACACGGAATGCTGTTACCTTCCCACCAAAGGTGGTTCCTATTTTTCTATTTGCATTTTTTAATGTGCTTTCGAACTGCTAGGTTGGCAGAAGCTGGGACAAATAACAGGAGCTCACTCTGTTACGTGGTACTAGGGATTCGAACCGCCAAACTGCCAACCTTTTAATCGACAAGCTCAGCGTCTTAGCCACTGCGTCCCCAAGCAACTACTACCATAGAACTAAGGAAGCCCTGGACAAGATTTGCAGTGGTTGATATAGAACCCCAGTGAAGTTCGTTTAGCTGCTATCTGCAAGACTTCTCTTCCCATTGAAAGTCCTCTTTCACTTTACCTCCCTTATCCCAATCCTTTCTTCCTACCAACATGATCCATCTTTACCTAACTTGCCAATGGGAAGTTTCAGTGAAAGGCTGAAGGACAGATTGCTTTCTGTGTATGAAGATCATCCACCATGTGAGTATACATTGGTGGTGATGCTAGCTGGCTTCTCTGTCCACCATTCGATTGCTTTAATGGCAGCATTCCAACAAAGAGGTACAGCACATGGTGGGATTCACATTTTTTTACTACCGGTTCTGTGGGCGTGGCTTGGTGGGTGTGGCAGGGAAAGGATNTATCAATATACTTAACATATCCTAGTTTTAAAGAAAAAATAAGAGAAGACAGTATACATGTGGAATCAAATTAAAGGTTGATTCAATCTTGAGCCTGGTGAGATTCGATCTGCTGAACTGCAGCTAGCAGTCAGCTGAAGTAGCCTGCAGTATTGCACTCTAACCACTGTGCCTCCTCAGTTCAGTGCATGCTGAAACTAACTGGTATATCCTTATTGTTGGCAAAGAATGATGCATGTACAACTCAGGTATCATCTCAGCTGGCAGCATCTTATCTTGCTTAAAAAGAAAATGAATGAAACACTCAAATAAACCAACTAATATTGGTGGCTGAAGTCAGTATTGATAGGCCTACCTGGTGCTTGCTGCTTCTTATTCCTTTTCTGCAAATTACATCATTTTGCTGTTATAAATAAATCAGATATTAATAGTTAAACTTGAGCATTTCTTCTGACCAAACATCAAAAATGGAATAAAGCAGTAACGAGGGTAACTGATTATGTATTTCTTTGAGCTTCAGCCCTGTGACTGTCCATTGGGAAATTGTACTTGAATTTTCAAAGGTAGATTTTGCAGCTATATAGTTTACAGAATAGAGTGGAATAGAATAGAATAGAATAATAGAGTTGAAAGGGACCTCAGGGGTCTTCTAATCAAACCCCTGTTTAGGCAGGAAACCCTATATCATTTCAGACAAATGTTATCCAATCTCTTCTTAAAAACTTCTAGTGTTGGAACATTCACAACCTTTGGAGTTTTAGGAGTCAGGGTTTTCATGCTCGGTGTACTTGGAATTCTAATAATTGGAATCCTCATTAGAGAGAACCTTATCTGTATAGCATGACTGTGTAGGAAAGCCCTGACATCCTCAATATTTTGTCTTTAAGTTATGTTAGGATCACAGTTTTCTGCATTCAAAGCCAACAGGATGGATCCCAATCTAATGTTCTTCTTTCTTTTGTTGGATTGCAGAGTAAAACTCAGAATTTTTACTCCTGATTGTATTGATAGCTTGATGTAATTCTTCTGACAGCCTAAAAATGTCAATGAGCTATTGTTGTTTAACAAACATTTTATATTTTGCCTACTTATCATTTTAAATGTCAATATCACATATTTCGAGAAATTATATATGTCATAGTCCTAATGATTGGAGAATGTGGGTCATGAAAGTCAAGGCAATTTCCCATCTAGTCATTCATGTACAAAATTCATTTAACATGAATCACCCATTGTAGAAATTTAATACATCATTTGACCTGAACAACATTCCCAATCGCATTCAACATCATAAAACCTTGTAAAAAAATCACCATCATGTTGGAGAAGAAGTTAATACAAATCCTTTCAGAACAGACAAGTAGGCCAGTTGGGACATTAAAGAAAAGGCTATTGTAGGAAATTGCTTAATAAAGGTTGCATTTACAACTTGAAAATTAATTGTGTCTTCAAAAGAGATTCAAAACTGAATGTTGTTCAGATTAAAGAAGAGAGAGATGTCAGCAAAAGAACTAAAAAATAACACCATAATGTAAAATAGCTTTCTTAAAAGTTTTCATTAAAGATAGTTGTCTATGTTAATTTTCCGATCAATTCCAATTTAATTTTCTCATCCTAATTTTTTTTTAAGATTGCTTAATTGCTTCTGAGAAAGGTCATCTTTTTATGCAGTTGCAGATGAATCTATGTAATCTATCTGAACTAGAATAAGTACATTTATGATTATATGGTCAACACAACAAAAACAACACCAATATTACACTATGAGTGATTGAAGAAGTGAGTAGCAGCAGTGATGTGCGGTGAGNCATTCAAGAAGAAACAGCAGTTACCCGCCGCTTCGAAGAAAACCATGCATTATATCCATGACTCTCGCCTCTTGGATGGAACTTTTTTTTTCCTAACAGAAGCAGATATTTATGGAAAGAAAAGACGGAAACTTGGGGATTGAGAAGAGAGAGAGACCTGCATCCAAAACAACCCATACCTGATAATCAGCGAGCCGCCTTCACAATGTCAAGAAACCAAAGCGGAAGCGGAAACCCGAACGGTCCGCCGCCGCTAATCTATCCGGGACAAAGAAACCGCTTGAGGAGGTTCCGTGGGGGAAGTTCTTTCCGCCTTTTATTTGGCTCCGCCCCTCTTCGCGCGCACTCCGGCCGGCGATTCCCAGCCGGCCATAAAACCTCTTTCCGTCCCTCCCCCTCGCGTTTTCCCACGGGCGCGCGCAATCGGTGGGGGGGGGGGGAGAGAAAAGGAAGCCAATGAAGGCTGTCATTGTTAGGGGCGGGCTGCTGTCCAATGGGCGGGCTCCTTCTTTCGTTGCCGTACTCGCTGACGGGCCGGAGGCGGCTGAAGGGGGAGGGAGTTGGAGATAGCGCCGGTACCAAGGCTGGCGAGCGCTGCGGTGAAGAGACGCTCCTGAGTTGGCGCCCGGCTTTCTGCCGCCGCGAGCAGGAGGAAGGACCGTCGGTAGGTAGCGGGCCTCCCGCTCTCGGTATAGAAGGGACGCGGGGCAGCGGCTGCCAGGCACCCGGTAACTCCGCCGCTCCTTCGCCGGACTCGCGAGCTGCAGTGACAGCTACCCTGGAAGCCCCCCCACCGATGGGCACTTGTCGCTTTCCCCAGGCCGCTTCGGGTTCCCTCCCTGCTCCTCCTCCTCCCTGCTTCCCTGACCCTCCTGAGGGGTCGTTGCGCTGCCTTCCTTCTTCCTTCCTCGCCAGAGCCAGCAGATTGCCACTGTCCTTTCCATCTTCTCCACGCACTCCTTGGATGTGACGAAGCTTTTCGCCCTCTTTCTTCTTCTTCTTCTGCCAAAGCCGGCTTTGCCTTCCTCTTTGCCGTAGAACACACCGGTAGCGAAGTCCCGGTCCAGCTCCCGCCGTTCCTGCCGCTTTTCCTCGTTTCCGGATAAATTAACGACCGCCTCGTAACCGTTTCCCGTTGATAAAGTGTGACGTTTGTCTTTTCCTGAGAGGATGAGGCCTCTCGGCTTCTTTACAACCGGAGCTTTTGCCAAGGAGTAGCAAGATCATAACGTAAGCCACCTTTCCAGCTACAGTTTGTTTTGATCTGGTTCGAACTCGTTCCGGAGTTGTTTAGTGGTCTCCCTTTCTAACCTTAAACGAAGCCCCTTGAACTAACATTTATTTCTGCCCTGATTGCTTCCTGGGAGTTGTCGTCTTATAATTGTGATAAGATGAAGAATATAGCAAATAGATGTATGAATAAATCTGGCAAAGAGATGTTATGTAACATTTTAGCTACATTGCTTATCCAAATATTCACTTAGTAAATTGACTCTTAGGTAAGCAAATGAACACATTACCTACGTGTAAAAACCACCCCACAATATTTATTATTTCTGCTTCAGTTTCACAACTTATACAGGTAAAGGAGAAAAACTATATATATGCATTACTGTATTTAGTTTGCCTAAAATTATAGGTTTGATCGGTGGGCTTTAAAAATGTCGATTTCTTTGTCACGGGGAGCAGACAATCCCATTCTGTAAATCAGCAAAGGAAGGTAAGTGAATATCAGTGTTTAAGAAAGGGCATTAATTTGTTAGTTATATTTTTATTCCCTCAAGTTATAACATACAGCATTCAGAGTGTCTATTAAAGAACATAGGATTTACAAGTCAAATTTGTACAAATGCCACTAAGCTGTCATGGTTATTGAAGTATTTACAATATTTTGTGGATATATTATCTATACTATTTTGGTGGAAGCTACAAACATTTGAGTATATATATTTGCTTCTTGGTTCAGTTAAAACTACTAAACATTTGCTTATTTATGTTCTATTTGATTGATTTATGTAGCAGCTGTATCACATATATGGGGAGGGAGGGAGAGACAGTTGGATATGTATGTATGTATGTATGTATGTATGTATGTATGTATGTATGTATGTATCTATCTATATCTATCTAT